TGGTCATACTACCTAACTTACCCAATTCACACACTACTTTATCTACTAATTGAGGAGCTACCTACCTTGCGCTGTCGCACGGAGTACAAATATGCACATCATCCGCCACTAATCTTGCCGAGCGCGCGCCCAACCTTGCAGGATCTTCGTTCAATCAGAGCCAGTTGAGTCGACAGATCGAGAGAGCGAGAGGCTAAGAAGCCCCACTCTTTTTCCTGTGAGTAATCGAGAGTGGGAAATTAGTAGCTGGTGGCTCTCTTTTTCTCTCTCTTTACATCGAATGCTATCTCTCTTTTTTTTCGATTTTTGAAAGAAAAGAGAAAAACAGAAGTGAATCCCCATTCAATTCTTCGAGACCCTTTTTCATCCTTGACAGACCGAGAGGATCGAACAAACAATGCCGGCAGCCGATGGGCGGGTTCCAGGAGACGGGATCGTGGGAGGATACTAATCTTCGCGGATCGCCTTATGCGAGACGAGAAGAAAATGGAACTTGAATAAGACATGACAAGCGGATGGGGGATGGTGTGGATCTTGAATGGCGGTGATGAGTCTCTCTGTAGCTGGAGGGGAATCTTGACCGAATGAATCTCATATGAGAACTTGAGATTCATAATACCTGCTTCTTATTAACTATTGGCTCCATTGTATTGTCGGTCGGTCAGTCCCAGCTGCGTTGGGAGTCGGGACTAAAACATTGTGGTCCAGCGACCGTGAAAAAAAATACACATGCCATATATCGATCCCCTGGACGATCACGGCCGTCAAAACTGTGCCCCAGTCTCTCCACCTGATGACTTATGACTTACGGTAACTAAGCCGACATTGTTATCCTGGTCAAAAGATCTATACAGGTAGTACTACTGTAACCATTCTTTGAGCGGCCCTGATGATAGGGAACCTCTGCAAGCAGATCAGAATGGTCCGTTACGTGCATTTCTTTTATCTTTCCTGTAATTACTCGCATCAATTAACTAACGTTTGGCTCCTTTCCCGGGCGCGAGGTCTTACGAGCTGAGGCTCAAACCTGAAGGAAGGGATTTCGCGTCCGCATACCGAATGAATGTGTATCGCATTACGGAGTACAGTACACCAAGCGAAGCCCCCTCCCCCCTTCCAGTGGCGAAATGGGGGGGTGGGAAGAAGGAGAGGGTTCCAGAAAAGTAGCCTTGAGGGTCTTAATCTCTTGAAGCTCAAGATCCAAAATCCTGTCCTTGATCGATTTCGTATGGAGAACACCCGGCAAATGAAGAATCTCAGTGCTACAAACGGCGTTTGATGGAAACAAAAGGTCGACCGGTGACGTTTGTTTGGTGATCTATGTTGATCTACAATCCTTGTAATTTATCCGCAGTTGTTTTTCTTCCCGTAGATTACCGCGCCCCGAAGGTCTCTCCCGCGGTTGATTATTTCACAGCTCGTTCCTGGCAGGGAGAAAAGAGAAGATGGGTGGGGGGGGAGGAGGCGCTGGCTGAAAGTTTAGAATAGATGCCAACGGGAGTTGAACCAGGGAACAATATCGCCACTATGTTTTCGCTTCTCTGGTTGTGGGGTCGGAAACAGATCCATTCCTCTCCAGCTTGGAGCTCTCAACTGGCAGCATTGAGCCAGGAAAAGTGGTAGGTTAGTAGCTACCTAGCTACTTACCTAGTCCGAAACATATGCATGTCAGAGTCTCGGGCAGAACATGGATTGTGGCGTGACCCTCAGCTTCTTCAGCATGAGATTCACGATCACTGACTGCCGACTGACTGGTTTGATGATTGTTTGCATCGACTATTGAAATCCGTTGTCCACCGCATCCGCATGTCACTTCGGGTTGTTTCTCCGCCTTTTTCGAGGCGCTCGCCGCCTGGGAATTTCTCCTGAACTGCTGCACTACTTATATAACCACGCTCACCGTCTTCTGCTTTTTTTCTTTTCGCCGGGGGCAACCTTATCACCCCTCCTCCTCTTTCCCCCGGTTCAAACTCTCGTCGTTCGCTGCTCGCAGTATTGGATGTATTCATGTTAGGCATCAACGGTCGTGGCCGGGCAGGAGGGAAACCGACGAAAGAAGAGCTGACCGCTCGGTCAGTCAGACGCCTTGAAGGTGACGGATGTCGCCCCCAGGTTCATAGTCCAAGGATCTACGGAGTAGAGTACCTTCGATCATAAGAAACCAGAGACACGAGTAAGAGTCCGAAACATAGTTACTGTACCTAGTCAAATGGGCAGCATTGCGAGACCGGAAAAATGGTTCTAACGACAGCAAGCATGCTTGAAGCAACAAGCACATGTAAACTTCCGTTGCTCCCCCCATTTACCTCCAGTCAGTGTCCTCATTACTCGTAGCTTGGTGTTTATCCATTCTCGGCTGGTGGGCAAAGGGATTGGGTCATTCTTTGATGGACAAATCAACTTTGCTGTCCCTTCAGATCATCTTACCGGTACCTATTCTTCAACAATGCCCCATCGAACATCAGTCCATCAGTCCATCATTCCCCTCCACCCTTCCCCATACCGCATTTTCTCCCTCCCTGATGACCATCTTTCTTCTTCATTGACTCTCCTAACCTCCTACCACATGTGAATAGGATAGCCGCCCCCTCAGGCGCTTTTGGGCACCGATCATTTCCTGGTCCATCAACCGACCATCAGCCGAAGAAAAACCGTTCTCGATCGGACCCGAAAATTAAGGCAGTATCATCTACGGATGGAGTTCTCTGTATCTGTCAATGGAATATGTTTGATATTAGATCAACCGGGGTCACACCCTCGCTTTTCATCTCTGGTACACCTCCATGATATTATCCTTGCTTTCCCCTTCTACCCAGTATGATTGTTTTTTTATATAAGCCTTTTGGGTCAAGCCGAGCGAAAGTCTCCAGTCAAACCCATGTGGCACTTGGGAAGGACCGGAACTGATTGCGGGCCCTTCCACCCTCGCGTTACAGGCTCTCTCTGACTTCCCGAACGGTCACCCCTTCCCCCTGCTTCCACTTTCAGCCAAGTCAGTTTCTGCTACTACTCATAAGCATCTTCAGACGATCGAAAAATATGACGGGCTTTTAAGTTACCGATGTACAGGTCCTCAGTACTCCGTAGGCTTTTCGAAAAAGGGCTGTGTTCATGCTGAACTGGACTCCTACGATTCACAGCCTAGGTAGCATTCTTAGTCAATCCTAGCCTATCAGCAGCTCCAGTTTGCGGCTCCACTTGCTGCTGCTGCGCGCGCTCCTCACACACAATGGTTTTTATTTCCACACGCGCGCTGACTTTCCCTCCGGAGACTATATTTTCTTCCTCTTATGTTGGAGGATCAACTTATTTCGGCTCTATGTTTTGCGGTGGATTACTAGATTCTGAACCTTGAGATAGGTGTCCGATGAGGAAACGAGGATCTCCAGTGGAAAAAAAAAGGCATCGTCCTTCTATGCGCAAAAAAGACCAAGCGGAGGACAGCCCAGACCCAGACCAGCCCAGCGGTCCTCGAGAAAAGCGATCTGTCAATTTTGGTGGCTTTGTGTTGATTCATGCAAACCAGGATCCTGGTTCGGGCTTACCAGTCCCAATTCACCTGACGGAGACCATGCAAGCAAGCAGCAAGCAAGCAAGCAAGCAAGCAAGCAAGCAGACAGGCAGGTAGGCAGACAAGCAAGAAAGAAGATGAAGAAGAAGAGAAAGTAGAAGTAGTTTAGCTAGTCTAGCAGCAGCAGCAACAGCAGCCGGACCAGAATATGCAATAGTCAAAGAAGAAGACAGGGACTCTGGGGAAGAAGGGGTCCAGAAGGGTTGCGCAGCACAAGTGAGAACTGAATCGCTTTCGTTCTTTTCTGTAAGGATCGTAGGGGCAGATACTCTAACTACTATGTAGGTATACCTACTGCTAAGTTGGCGTACTGCTGCTTATTGTTCGTTCCCTTTCCTTGTAATTGTTATTGTTGTTGTTGTTTCACACCTGATCCGTCTTCTTTCCCTCCGCCAGTAAAGGAGTCAATAGGTAAACAGGTGGAAGTGATGGAAGTATTGAATTGCGGTAGAGGTACTGGCCTAGAGAGGTAGATTGCTTCGAAGAGAGAAAGGGAAGGAAAGAAAGAGCTTGAAGAGACTTGGAGGGAAGAAAAGAGGGGCATCAACACCCTCAACTTACAGAGTACAGTTGTCACTGTCACTGCTCCTTCCGCCGTTTGTCTAATCCCTCGTTTCTTTGCTCATCACGCACATCCATTCCTGTTAGTATTATATTATTTTGATCCCAATTTTCTGTCTTCCTTTCTTCCTATCTTCCTCACCTTGGAGCCTGACTTTCCCCCCCATTTTGAGTGAGTGAGTGAGTGTGAAATTGATCTCTGGGTCCTTTCCCCCTCCCCCTTCCACCATAATATTAAGAAGAAGAAGAAGAAGAAGAAGAAGAGGAAGGGGAAGAGGAGGAATAACAATCAATCTATCTATCCATCGTCATTTTTCTCTTTCCAGCATTTCGATCCCGCCTTTGACCTTTGACCTTTTACCTTTTACCCCTTCAGATCAACCCGCTGTTGCCGAGAGAGGACCGACTGACTGACTGACTTTATCTTGTTCTTCATTCAGTCACCAAGCGGGAAGTCACTGACTGCTTCAACAACTTATGCCCAATTCCAGTTTTAACAACAGTTTAATAATAATTCCCTCGAGGATCCATCCATCATCGATTTTCCCCCCCCTCCCTCCCTCCCTCCCCCCCCCCTCCCCCCCGCCCCGGTAGCCCCGTTCTGCTTCGTTCTGGGACCCGTTGCCGAAATTCTCTCTTTCTTCTCCTTCTCTTCTTCTTAAGGAAAAAGAAGCCCACACAACCTGAATCCTCCGAACCTCGACCACAGTTCGATCTACTCACTACGGTACGGAGTACTACCCAGGTAATCAGTTATCCACTCTCCTCCCCTTCCTTTCTTCTTTCTTCCCCCGGGCGACCCGACAGCTTGGCTTAGCTACCTGCCTAAATATCTCCCGCTGGATCGAAAAACTGCCAGACTTGACCTCCCGTCGTCGGCGTCGTATTTATTTTTCTTTTCTTTCTTTTCTTTTTCTTTTTTACCCTATTTGGACTAATATTTTTTCTTTAAAGGGATCTTCTTTGGATCGTTTATTATTATTATTATTATTATTATAATCATCATCATCATTTGATTTAATCTGACCTGGAAAACACCCATTGCGTATGTTACACTTAACTTCCTTCTTGCCTTGCTTCTTCTTTTCGTTTCTTTTTTTTTTCTCTCGAGTTTCTTTTTCATGTTGTTGCTTTGATTCTGTTTTTCCCCTCTTGTGATGGAATTGCTCTCCTCTCCTCCTCTCCTCCTCACACATTCTCACATGACATGCACGAAGCCTGACACCACCAAACATCTCTAGGAGCCTGGGTAATGGTCCCTCTTGCAGCTGGGACATTGTATCCGAGACTTTCTTTGTCTTCCCCCTCTCCAAGTGCTTACCGAGCGCTGCGACTACTATCTACTGGGCCGACTCTGACGACTTTCAATCTCCAAACCCCCTTACCCTCCCGATAGAGCTTGGGGTCTGTGATTCTCACCCAGCCAGTCTATCGGCCTATTTTCGACGGCCACTAATAGTAGCCACACACTCTGACCGTACATTCATCCATCCATCTATCCACCCTTCCATACATCCATTCATCCACAACAGACTACGACAAACCAGTCTCGGTGTGTTCCACTCCTCTAACTCGTTGATTTACCTTAGTCTCTCTACCTGCGCGGATCGTTGGCAGTTCTCTCTCTCTCTTTCTCTCTCCCCCCCTCTCTACCCCCCCCTTCCCCCTCCACCGCCCCTCCTCCTTCAACCCCTCTCCCCTGCTATACATGCTACTATCACTCGCCCTCTCACGCTTTTTGTACATGCGCCTGGAGTTCTACCCGTCTTATGGTCGATTTTCTTGTTGCGACCGATGGCCGAATGATATTGCAAGCACGGCTTGCCCCCTAGTCTTGTGTCTGTTTACTACGATGTGCTGCCGGCCGTCCCATTAATCCCTCACTCTCATCACCTTGTTTGCGAATTCTGTACGGCCAAAAATGCTCCTTTGTTGCTTGATCACTCGGCCATCCATTCGTTCACGTTCTCTATCCAAACAAAGCTAACGATTGCCAGGCTACTTGCGCAAGAAGCGACCACTACCTGCTGATCCTTTCTCGCCCCTCACCTCGCGATTCTATCGCTACTTGCAAGGTGCGGCGCATGGTCTTTGGTCTTCCTCGATCTAGTCTCGAGCAACAAAGAGAATCCCACAGCTCTGAAGCCAATTGCTGAGCGATCTGACGCGCAGGGAAGAAGTTGCCATTGGATTTTCTGACACCCTGATCGCTGGGCGAGGTGCAACTGTTGTCCGGGACAGCTCAAGCTTTCCATTTACCCCCAGCACTCCGGCCGCATATCAACAGCATTTGTGCTCATTTCGATCGTCATCATGTCCTCGTGACTGCATGGCCTACCTACCATTGAGCTGATTATCGGTTGTTGATTTGTGACAACCAGACGCTCCGGGCTTAGCCCGCAAGTATCTGTTCAACAGAAGCCCAAACGCAGGCAGGTTGTATCGACTGGTCATCGCCCATTGCACTTGCTCGCTTCAATGCATCGCATACCGCTCTCCGAAGGGTCGCACGGTCTGCCCAGCACGTCCGGCGTGTTTGACCAGCCATGGCGTCCTCCGTACGCGCCTTCTTTTGACACCCACCCTGCGGACCAGCGGCGCACGTCGAGCGCACCTCAGCCTCCGCTCCACGCGCACCCGTATTCTGTCATGTCGAATCGGGAACTGCCGCAGCTTCCCCCCGATGGGCCATATGCCCGGCAAACCAGTCTACCTGGACCACCAACGCATACGCCCCCAGAGACGCACCCGCCTCCACCTCCTCCTCACCCGAATTTCCGCCCGCCGATCAACGGAGCGCCTCATGAGCCGCCACCTCATTCCGCACCCCCGGAGTATCGACCTCCAGTAGCACGAATGTCGTTCCCTCCCCCGGAGACGCCTGTGGCTGTCGGTGACCCTGCACCGCCCCCACAAACCCTACCACCAGCCCCGTATACTCCGCCGGTGCCCCTCTCACAGACACCTACACCTTACGATCCCGCCTACTTCCCGAATCAGGCATTCGGGATGCGCCATCGCAAGGCAGCTCGGGCTCAACAGGTAATTAAACGTCTTCTTCTCTTGGAACTGTGGCTGCTGAAGAATCGTGTCGACTGACTTCCGTAATGTCGCTATCCTTCAAGGCGTGTGATCAATGCCGAGCAAGAAAGGCCAAGTGCGATGAAGGTCGTCCGGCTTGCAGTCATTGCAAAGAAAATAACTTGATATGTGTTTATAAAGAAGTGCCCCCTCACAAGTCTGTGACCCGCCCTCCCCTCTGGTTCGTCTAGGTCTTGGTGATCGCATGCTGACCGCCTTTCAAGACAAGAAAGAGCGACCCAACAAATGATGGACCGTGTGCAACAGTTGGAAGATGCAGTGATAGAACATATAAGACGGGTGGTATCTATGCAAGTTGAGCAAGGGAACCAGCTCACGGCTATCTTGCAAGGTACCGGAATTTCAGACACGAAGATCATACAGGCTGCCGAAACGCAGAAACAGTCACTCAGCCGAATGTCGAAACCAGACATCGCCGATCTCCTCCAAAAGACCGAGACTAAAGACGAGACAATATCCAATTTCGTGAATCGGGAACTTGAGAAGGCTGCCGAAGGGGAACCACAGATGCTGGTAACCGGCGAGGATGGTGAACTTTCTATTCCCGTTGAGCATACGACGGCGGCCCACAAACTGCTCATGTGGCCGTCAATCAAAAGTCTTCTTTCCCCACGCGAGTATGATGAGGATTATGTGATGAGGCTTGAGGAAGAACGTGGTCTGATCCTTGTTTATGGGCGGGGTGAAGGCCATAACGACAGCGAGGACCTGACCGCATCACCTCCGCCGAACGGGCATCCTGCACGGGACCATACCTACCCAAATGATGCGGCTGCTGGTGGACCATGGGGCTCTGTACCTCATCAGAAAGGCACACCCATCAGAACCAGGCCAGATGCTCTGGATGAGAATGGGTACTTTACTACGGATGCCGCTACCGTTCGCTGTTATTACCAAAGCTACATGGACCACATACACAAACTCCACCCGTTCCTCAACCAGAATGAATTGGAAGAACGAATGGAAAGGTTCATTGCACGGTACTGCCCTCTGGCGAATGCAACCTCAGCGCCTATTCTCAACGGCAATGGCAATGGCCCGCGGAGCGCAAAGCGAAAGCGATCCTGCGAGACTCTACATGGTGCGGGCTGCGATGTCCCATCCCCCAGCTCCATTACGCCCGATGGCCTAAGCGGCCGTCGCGTCGAGAAGTCGTTGAAAAATGCAATCAGCCTTCTAGTTCTTGCACTTGGTAGCATCTGTGCAACAAAACCTCCCGTTCCTGGACCGGTTACTGATGTCCCTCTAAACTTTCGAGACGAGTGTATCCCAGGTCCAACCTCCCGAAACATGCTTTCACGGGCAGATTCCCTGTCAGCCGTGCCACCGCAAGGCAGCTTCTATTCTCAGGCGGATGGTCAATCCTTTTCTTCGATGGATGGTCGCAAGGCGTCCTCGGATCGCACAGGGCATGCGTTACATCCCCGGAAACCGCGCAACATAGACGTCATTCCCGGCCTGGCATTTTATGCCTATGCGACTCAGATCTTGGGAAGCTTACAAGGTGCCAATGGCCTCGATCACGTTCAAGCAGCCTTACTTGCAGGATTATATGCCGGACAACTGGCGCACCCTTTTCAGAGCCACGGGTGGATCTATCAAGCAGCAAGAGCTTGTCAGGTGCTTGTGCGGACGTAAGTTCCAGATTCTATACCTGTTATGTGCAGTTTATGTCTGACATAGTGAGGCAGAAAACGATATGAGCAGTATGTTGATGGACCCCTCAAAGACTCCATTGACTTCGCATATTGGACCTGTCTGCAACTGGAAAGGTATAGTCTGGGCCCGCTTCACACCGACAGGTCGTTCACCAAGCTAATCGCACCTCCGCGTAGTGATATTCTTGCGGAACTCGATCTTCCGGCTAGCGGGATATCCCGATCAGAAGGCCGAATTTCCTTGCCGAAAGGAAAATATACACTGACTTTACCGAACGAGATCTCTGCCCCGAGCACCATGATGATGTTCTTCTATTCCGCGCAGATTCACCTCAGAAAGGTTCTCAATCGCGTTCATACAGATCTGTACAAGGTTGAAAGTGAGTGAACTGCCCGCGTAAGTTCTTAATCATTCAGCTAACATCAACCCAAGGAAAGGGAGAATCGCGTTGGTCTTCCCATGTTCAAGAAATCCTGAGCATGAATTTGGAACTTTGGAGGAGCAGTCTGCCCGAAGTGATGCGCTGGAAAGACACGGATCCACCATCGAAAGACATCAATGTGGCCCGCATGCGTGCCAAATACTACGGGGCACGGTACATCATTCATCGGCCGCTTCTATTCCATGCTCTACATTTTGCCAACGACACCGGTAGCTCAGCATCCGTCGACTCTCCTACTGGATCAGCGATCTCGGGTTCGAGGTCACAACAAGTGTCCCCTTCCCTGACCCACAGCCAACGCGCCATTGGCATGGCACGTCTAGCCAGTGATGCCGGTCCAACCGCGCGGAGCGCTCCAACTCCGACCCCAGGGGGTGGGAACTGGGCGTCCTACGCATATCGCGATCTTCAACCCAAGATGCGGAGAGCGTGCAAGGTGTGCATCGACTCCGCCATGCTGAGCACCGAGGCCTTCGACGGAATTGATGGTCGTCCTGTTGTGACCAACATCTTCGGCACAGCTCACGCGTATGTTGCTGTTCTTGATCCCCTACGTGCTGACACATCGTACTGACCGATCTTTTGTTGGCTAGTCAATTTGGTAACATGTTGGTGTTGTCGGCTACGTATATGTCGAGTTTATCCGAGCTTGTCGATCGGAACGATTTGGAGCGACTCATGAAGCGAACTATCCGTTTCCTTCTCCAAAGTCGCGAAATCTCGCCTAGCTTGCGAGCTGATGCGAAGATTCTGAGCGAGATATACGAGAAGATTTTCGGGGATTCGATTGAAAGCTTCATCCAGGCGTGATACGCATATGGATCTTTCCTATGCCTTAGCCTGAGACCGAAGAGATTCATGCGAATGATTGTGCGATACTCCTGCCACCAGTTCTTTCCAACCACCCCTCATACTTCTTATACAACGCTTATTGATGATTTGTACCCAATTGGCAACTCCGGCCTAAGCGGGCCATTTTTTTTCCTGCTCAGTGTTCTGGGATATGTTGGTCATACACGAGGTCATGCCCAGTGGCTATATGTTACTCTTTGTGGATTGCTATCAAAAGCCTGTCTTTCACTAACTCAATGTATGTCTCATCGGTTGCCTTGAATCGATGCGGAGCAGGACAGCCACTTGCAATGCCCGTTATCATGTGTTGGTCATATTCGTTTTCTATTTCTTTTTCAGGAGTTGATCTGGGCCAAGGGCATAGGCCCTGCTTTTGGGAGTTGATGTGGCGTCGACTGTCTCGTGCTCGCGAGGTGAACAGTGAAATGGGAGGTATATCTGCTTTGCATTTTCAGCGCATCGAGGGTGAAGATCACGTATATTACAATGCTTGCGGTCTCTCTTTCATTATATTGCTCTTCCTTGGAGTTTGGTCGGGGTGGTCTTCCCCTGCATTGTTAATCTTCTGACCGAGGGGGGTCTGTTGAATGGCGACTGCCTTATCGTCTGTGGTGCGGTGCACCTCATGAATCTGTGTATGGGTACTTACTATACACTGAGTTTTCTCCATTGTTCTCTCTATTCTTCCTTTCCATTTTTCTTCTCCTTTTCTCGGCCCATTTCCTACTAAAGCTGTATATACACGAGCGACATCGACTCTATGCCGCCGAGGCCGAATGTAGCTAGACACATTGTTGTAAAGACTTGGGAGAGAGGCTAGATGGCGTGCGCATGCAAGTAGATAGCCAATACTTGCATTACAGTTGGATGTACTGTACTTATTGTACGGAGTACGCAGTAGGCAGTGACTTAGTGTAGGTAACTTACCTAGTTGAAGCAGCTCAGCTCAGGTGCAGAGCCGTCATTTCCGCCGGTGCACGTGCATCGATCGGTCGGGCCCAGCCTCGCCGTCTTACTGCCACGGACTCGGACTTGCATCGATCGATCCACCAACCATTCAATAGTCAGCTAAGTTAAACAACAGCACAACACAAACAGATTGACTGACAGCTCAGCTACGACGAGTATGTCCCCTGAGTTCCATCGTCATCAGCCTATCCTCATCCACATCCACTACCCAGGGGTTCTTTCACCCTCCCATCTGTTCAACTTCTCCAGTCTATGCTACCCGCATTCTGACACAGCTTCCCATCATCCATGATAATTACCCCACATTCCTTGAGCCTTCCTTCCCACGCACGCTTCCTTTCTTAATTATCATCATCATCATCATCTAAATCTACTAAATCGTGTCAAATTCATCTGCCCAGCATCAGCCATCCTTTCTGGGTCTAGCCCAGCCCGCTAAGGCCGATTACTGGTCCAGTGCCTTCGTGAGGTTTTGACTGTCAGCCCGCCAGCCGCCAGCCGCCAGCCAGCCAGCCAGCCAGCCAGCCAGCCCCAGGGTGTGGCTCTGGTGGTCTCCGCTTGCTTCCCCTTCCTTTCCCTCCCGGTTTCCAACCAGCAAAGATCCACGGTTCACTTGTTTACTTTTCTAGGTCCTCCTCCGGCTCCCGACCGGAGTCCCACACAACAACCACAATCACAACAACCACTTTACCGCTGCCGCCGATCTAACCACCACCTACCTACACCTAGGCTATATTCATCCACCAAGCACATTATTCATTCACCCCAGCCTCCTCATCCTTCAAGGTTCGCTTTTTCTCTTTCCTCTCTTTCGCATTCGTTCTTTCTCTCCCCTCTCCCACCGCCCGCCTCCTTCTCTTCCTTCCCTTCCAACCTCCCCCCCGTTCTTCTCCATCTTTGTTATCCCATCTATCACTTTTCAGCTTTTGGATTTTCTTTTGCGCACAATTCCACTAACCCCCCCCCCCCCCCCCTCCAGCGCCTTTCGTGGGTCAGAGACAATACCAATTTCATTGCTTTGGCTATCAACCTCCCCACGGGTTGAAAATTTCCCCCATGGTTGCCTGAGCTGTTAGAGCGTTTACTGCTCGCTGCTTATCATGTTCAAAGCCCTGATGGGCGGGGGCCGCTCATCCTCCGATGCCCGCAGCAGTTCGACTTCCAAAGGCAGTAGCCGCCGCCGCCGCACCGACTCGAGATCCTCCACAGTGAGCCGCAAATCATCACGGGGTGACGACCGTGATCGTGGCTTGGGTGATCTATCGACCTATCCGTCTTCCGGTAGCCGTAGCAGGCGGTATGCCGCCAGCGCGACCGGCGAATCCGTGGCTTCGAGCTATGCGACAGCAGACCAGGGCTTGCCCGCTGAATCCGATCGCATTGTAATTGAACGTACCCCGAAACGCAGTGACTCCGACTTCACTGACCGTCGCACTCGGGATCGGGACAATGGCGAGAGGGAGGACACATACTTCCGCAGGCGCGAGCGGGCAAGGTCTCCCAGTCGCGAGCGCGAGCGCATGCGACTGGAAAGGGATGAACGCAGGAGTGGGGTGATGTCGGGTGGTCGTGACAGTGATCGTGCAGAGCGTCGACAGACACAGTCGGGCGATAGTTACGCAACAGCGTTCGCTGAGGATCCACCTACGTCGCGATCAAGGAACGAATACGATATCTCCGATCTACCTCCCCACTCCGCACATTCTTATGACTCTATCCCAGGCACCTCGGTGTCGGGCCTCCCGAATGTGCCGGCATTCTACGACCCTCATGTGCAGCAGCAATTTCCCGACCAGTTCCCTACAACCTTCGCCGAACCGTACAGGCCGCCAAATCCTGCTGGAGAAGCTGCGGACTACTATGGCGATCAAGGCCAATCGGTCCAGGACCAACCCGGCGTTCGTCCGAAACCTCAGATGGTGATTCCGAGTAGCCAAGCGCATTTGATGACGGCTTCTTCGGTACCGAACCCGCCACCTGAGCCCAGTAGCTTGGGTCAGGTTGGCGCTGCGGCTTCGTACTATGATGACGATGCGGTTCCGGTTTCCTCGAATGCTCAGCAGGGCCCGACACAAAGCACATCGGTCCCGGCGACTAAGCCACCAAAACCACCCAAGCCATTCGTTCAGGTTGCCGAGGCATCGCCGCCAGCGGTCGTACCCGCCGCACCAGTGGCCACAGCTGAATTCTCAGAGCCAGTGTACACAGAGTCTCCTTCAACCTACGCTCCGCCAAATCCTCCGACTGCACACAACCCATCCCCTCCGCATGGAATGGGCGCAAGTGTTGGGGCGGCCGCAGCAGGAGCAGCAGCAGGTTACATGATGGGACACCATCATCATTCCTCGAGTGTCCATTCTTCTCAGTACACCATGCAGAATCACGAAGTGCTTTCCCAAACCGAGCTGGGTCACGGCGGTCTTGTGACATACTCCCCTCACCAGGAGGCAGCACTTCATGCAGCAGGAGTCGGGTACGCAGCAAGTCCTCTCCATCCGCATCATGCGGCTGTCTACCATGGTGCTCCGTTTCAATCTGGTGCCCTAGCCTTTCAACAACGTCAGCGCGGACCCTTGGAAAAAATCATCGATTTTTGGCGCGATACTGAAGCAGTGGGAATGTTCGAGGACTACACAGAGTCCATCGGTATCTGCAAATATTGTTTTGAGCCGGGCACATCATCTCGAGACGCACCCCGCAAGCATAACCACGGTTCTGGCCGCAGCCAGGGCGATCGTTATAGCACGGCCTCCCGCATCGATAAAGCAAGCCGCTATTCATCTTCCGACGATGAAGGGAGACGTCGCAAAAGGTCATCTGGAAGCTCATGGCTGCCTGGTTTGCTCGGAGGATATGCAGGCAGGTCGATCTTCAGCAACAAGGAATTCGACGAAAGTTATAGTATTCAAACAGGCCGAGTCGCGAGCTCACGGCATTCCTCTCACAGCAGTGAGGGCGCGGCAACCTCTGGCCGACGGAGTCAAACATCTCGTGGCGTGCATCGTCGGTCTAATCGCAGCAGATCCCGTGAACGGGCTGACCGTAGCTCTTGCTCGGACACGAGAACCAGCAAGTACGAGACTAGCCACGTTCGCTCGCGTTCAAGGTCTAGATCTTCGTCTCGGGCGCAGCGACACTCTTCCCTGAGAGATGCAGCGCTGGGTGCTGCTCTTGGCACGGCAACTCTGTCCCAGGTTGAGCCACGTCATGAGACTAGCACCCGAGTTACCTCGTCCAAGAACAAACAGCGAAAAACATCCTCGTCTGACGAATCTTTCGTTGACATTTCACGGCCAGCTCGAAAGTCCATGAGTAGTGGTCTCAGTTCCTTTTTCACAGCTTCATCTGAAAATCGGCAGAAGCAGAGGACCAAAAAACGCCGGGGATTGTTTTCCTTCAATAACTCGTCGTCATCCTCCTTGGACGCGGATCTTGCCTTCGGAAGTGGCTTCGCCAGGAAACCCAAGAACAAGTCCAACAGGCGGAGTCGGAAGGAGAGAGATGTGGACACAGCATTGCTCGGTTTGGGCGCAGCAGCAACAGCCTTGGCCGCTTCATCTCATAGAAGCAGTCGACGACGAGGAGAGATTCTTGCCGGCAAAAAATATCGATCGGGTCGGTCAGATTATGCGTCCTCTGCAACCAACGATGATGGATGGGAAGACTTAGATTCGGGCGACCAATCTTCTTCAAGCGTCAACTCCGCTCTCGCTTTTGGCGGCAGTGGGCTGTTCTCTAGCAGTGAATCTCAGCACTCGTCTGACTCCCAGACAAACAGGTGGACATGGGGATGGGGAAGCAAGAAGAAGACAAAGAAGAAGAAGAACAGGACAAGCCCCAGCCAATCTGAACACCGCTTGCCTTCCGGTGCGGCAGTAGCTGCCGGGCTCGGAACGGCTGCCCTCGCATCGACTTATCACCGAGACGCGAAGTCATCCAGCCATGGTGCCAATAGCGTTGCAAGTCTTCAACAGATGGCGCCAATGCCCATCAATGAATCCTCGCCTCACAACGACTTCGACACATCGTCAATGCCTCTCAATCAGCCACCCTTTGTTCGACCAGGGCCTATTCCCTTACAACAACCACAGCCTGTCACACCGGTTTCACAAGCTGTATACACCAGTC